GAGGAGTTCCCTATTCGGCACTTCGTGTAGAGCATTCCATTCCTCCATTTCCTCAAGGAAGGAGTCATTCTCCCTCGAAATTTGGCGAATGGGCATGTGCCAATGTCAACGCTATAGCGTGTTGTAGCTTCAGTCGAATGATTACCGCCCTTCCGCTGACAGGCTTCCAATCAGTAATTCTATGCGCGAGATTGGGTTCTATCAGAGCACCAACACCCGCCTGCGCGCACGTCGTTATATCGACACCTGAGTAGAACAGATTCTATCCGATGAGGTTCAGGAGTCCAGGCCTTTGCGCTTTGTTGACGATTGTCCAACAGTGTCGAGGTGGTCCTTTATGATATTATCATCTAACTCTTGCCCTTTCCTTCTGAGTTAGGATATATTCCAATTTTCCACTGGCAGTATCGTTCTCGTAAACTTGACGTGGCATCGCGCTGTCTGCCTCCTCCGTTCAGAACGGATGGCGACTCCGTTGCTGACTGGTATTTTCGTCGTCGTTCCGTCGGTCTTCTTCAGCCATTGTCGTACTTCTACGCCCTCGGCTGGAAGAGGAAATTGAACAGGTTCTGATCGCCGACTTCTCACAATCTGCTATAGTCCCGCAACAGTCTACACGGCCCTTGATTGCCCATATTGCAATTGAGCCTCTATACTGTGCGAAGACGGCAACACTGAATTGCTGGTGGCTGTTTTACTGAGACTTTTCCACGATCTCCAGCCCTCCCCTTTTCTCATCCGGGCTGGGAATATGCAACGTCGGAGTTGTTATTTTATACGTCATATTTTATAAGTTATTATCAGTATATTGGTTCTTCTCTTGATGTATGTTAATTGGTATATTATTCCTTCGTGGCTTACTGTTTTGACCCTTCCATTTTTTCGCTAGAGCAGTCTGATTGTCATCGCATATGATATTTGAGGAACTGTTTTAATTTTACCTCGAACATGAAAATCTGTGGAGTGTGATAATTATTATTATCAAAATATTCCTGGACGAGTGAATTTTAGAGCAAATTGAACTTCACCCTTACTCCTTGTCTATGGGCCATTGATATAGGAATAGTTATCAAAATGTTAAATTTTTTAGGCACTTTTAAATGCTATCAGTATGTTTTTTGGCGTTTACTTTACTTATGTTAGATAACTAAAAGCGATTAAGCGCGTTTAAAAGCCATGTACTAAGTAGAGCGTTCGAAATCCTCAACGGCTTTCTTTTTTTGAGCACAAATTCATAATGTGCCGAGGAGGTATCGTTTTGAAAAATGGCATTTAAACATTTAGAAGCATTTTAGCGAATAAATACAATTCATGCCAGGTGAAATGGGCAATAAAATGGAAGAGCTAAAAATTGAAAGAAGCGATTGGTAAAAGTAGGTGTGGATAAGCGAAAGAGAAACAATGAAGTAAACTTAAATTAAATTTCATAAATTAAATTATTTAGGATGAGGTTCCAACAGTCTTTCTGTTATTCATCTGCTGGTCTGTGTTTTTCATGACTTTGAGAACTTCTCTGTGTATTACTAATTTTTTCTCAAGAACACCTCTGTGATTTCGGAAAGCTTCATTTTTTAAATGTATTTTTTTCAAACTGTCTCTTTATGTTTTATCATTAACAGCATGAATATGTCTTTTCAAATTTAATTATAGTACATACCTACTTTCTACTTTTATGTTAATTGAAGATTCCTGGTTAATATTAACAAAAGTATAAATAATTTTTGTTCCAAAGTGTACAATAATAAGTTAAACATGCGTATATGTTTGATTAGATTTTTAATCGTAAAACATTATGCAGCCCAAAATTTCACGTGTTCTCGTAGTTTAATTATTCAATTTTCACTCTTTATTGGTCAACATTTAAAGTACTTATCTTGATCGAAGTTCACTTGAATGGAACAGCCATTCTTTGTAGATCAGTTCCATTAGCGAAGCGGAAGATGCCGTTTTCAACGAAAGTTTTGAAGAACCTGTTCTTTGCACCAGTGTAATATGTCTTTTGATATTTGTGAGTCAACGTTTAGTTTGCACGGGGTTGTTTTAGTTCGAGGCGGATGAGAGCATCGAAATCAACCCATTCGTTGTTAGCGCTGAAGCACCCCACTTGCAAGTGCCCCAGGGGAGCTTTGATCGCTGCAATGTGCCTTGTACTTCCTCCGTGGTCAACGTTGCGACCTTCCGGAATCGTCATTATGTCTGGTACGCATCGTCATATTTCTGGTTCACTTGCATTGTTTGATTCCAGCTACGTCAGTCTTCTCTTTTTAGGGAAGCATCACCATCGCATTTAGAAGATGGTCTGCAGAATATAGTGTCTCTTGATGAAATCGTGAACGTGGAGGAAGAAGTTGATCTCAGCAAGTAATTAATTAATATGTTTAATTTTGTTTAAATAGAATTTCTGTAGGATTGAAAAAGAGAAAGTTTCAACTCCTTCTGCGACGAGTCTTGCTAGTCATTTGGGATCGTCACCCCTTTCAAGGAAAGGGTGGGAATTGGAAGATGGTTTACAGAATTTAGTGCATCTTCGTGAGATCATGAACTCAGAGGAAAAATTGTTTCACTGTCAAAACAAGTAATAAACTTACACTGTGGTTAATTCTATTTACATCCTGTGTTATTCATAGAATTGAAAGAAAGAAAATTTCGACCCCTACTGTTACAAGTCCTAGTAGTCCTTTGGGGTCGTCACCGCTTTCTAAGAAGGGTTGGGACAAAACGCCAGATGTTGTGAATCAGTCAGTCGGCTCCAACGAAGTGAAATCGTTTTCGAAGATCGTTGAGGAGCAACGAAGCGGTATCGAAGCCAGAAACGAACTTGTCTCAAAGCCGTTTCATTTCGTTCAGGTATTAACACTTGCTTTATGCACGAAGGATTGCAGAGTGGTCCTCAGAATTAAGGGAATTTTTTGAGTGATCTATTTTCACGCGAACGTTTGACGTGAATATGAATTTCTCATCACTGCAAGCTTTGCATTCAGGAGTCGAATAATTAGCTTATGTGACTATGAAATATTCCAGATTCTGATCCTACACACTGCATCATTATTTCTTCCATATGTGATGGATGAAATTCATTATGGTAGGACTTCAGGGCCAATAGATATTTCGTTGTGACCATGGTGGCAGAATGAATGGCATAAATTGCCTCGCAGTCGACAGGAGTAACTGAAACAATGTTTCACGATATATCCTTGAATCCTTTTCAAGTTCATCAGTTAATCAAGTGCCTGCCATTATTTAAAGCTTTTTTTGTTTAATGTTTCGTTATACTTTTGATATTATTTATTTGCCTAATTATACTATTTATTTCAGTAACATCC